CCACAGTGCCTCGTATAAGCGGAGATCTCCGCCCGGCGCGGCACTGTTGCCACTCTGCCCTTGACGTCACTCCTGTCAGGAGTACTGTCCCCACTACCTCCTGTCGGTACGGCCCGAAGATGGTTGGCCCTGCCGGTCAGCGAGAGCCCGGAAGACGGCTGGGGACACACCAGTCGGATCCGAGGGAGGTCGGCTCCCAGCAGCCGGCCTGGCCCTTCCTCGGGGGCCTACGCGCCATTAACCAGACCAGATGCAGAGTGGCTACATTGATCTCCCACCAGGAGGCAGCACTGTAGCCACGCCTCCTTGACCAAACAAGCGTCATTAGCAACACGGCTACAGTAATCTGTAGCCAGCAAGACCCGCGAGCGGCGGAGGCGGCCTGTCGGCTCCATACCAGACCAGCCGGCGGGCCCCAGCAGTCGACGGAGAAGCCAACGACCAGAGAGACTGACAGCCGGGTCCTACGCCCGGCCGGATTATCATTGTACCCCTGGGGGTAGGCCTATATAACCCCCCCCCAGGGAACCCATGCAAAGGGTTCGGATCTGTTAGGACTAGACTCATACCTAGAGGAGGAGAGAGCGTGCCTGCCTTCTTCCACCTCTAGCAAACAGCTCAAGGAGCACCATTGTACCACTTGCGCCTTAGTGATCATGCGAAGACCCCGCAGAGCAGGACTAGGGGTGTTATTTCCTAGAAGAGCCCCGAACCTGGGTAAAGTACGCCAGCGTTCGTGTCTACGCCTCATCCCGCTTCCAGGCACCGGCGACGTTCTACTCGCTCCCACCATGATAAGCCATCCATTGGCATATGTCACACCCAACCCCCCGACAACGACCAACCGCCACCACCGTCCAGGACCCGCAGCGGCCGCCGGCCACGCGCCGCCAAATACACCTCGCGCCAGATTTGGTCGCAAGTGGCGGCAAGCATGCCCCTCCAGCAAGCAGCCCGATGCATCACGGATGCCACCTAATGTCGTCGCCGGGAGGGCACTCGGAGCACCGCCGCAACCCACCAATCGTGAAGCCCTGGCCTGTGGTGGCGACCTGCACCCGCGCCACACGCCAGGGGATGAAGAGGCCCGCCGCCGGCGGCGGCTAGACTTTGCCTAAGCGCGCCTTGTGGTGGCGGCGGGGGCAGTAAGTGGGAGGATGGCCGACGACGGTTAGGGTTCCCTCCCCGTCTCCTGCAGGGGCGACACAGGAGGGGTGGGTGGGTCGGGAGGGTCCCGTCGTCGCTCTCAACTGAATAATAATCTCTGTGAGTATGCCTGAAAAACCAGTGGCATAGTTTTCCACGCAAAAAGACCTGTGAACATTGATTCAAGGAGATACAAATCTTCGATTGTTTTCTTTACAGACACGCTTTATGATCTATATATAAATGAAAGGAACTTACCATTGACATACCCATATGCATTCCATCTCATTCATTTATACTGAAAACTTCTGGAACTTCTGCCTAGTGACTAGACACGATGGTTTAAGACTGACTATATCTGTATAATTTTTTTCATCAATTTATAGATGAAAAGGGCATCAAAATAAGGTCTATCTCTAGACCGCTAACATACAAGATGCAAATAGTCATATAAGAGATGTGGACTGAGTTTGTTGCATGTACTTCATGGTGGGGCGGGCAGGAGCAAACTGCAGGTTTGCAGTTGATCAACGAACAGAGGCGTTTTTCATCTTTCCGGACCTGTGCCTGACAAAGAAAGCAGCTAGCATACTTTTGGTGCGGACGGGAGCCTTTTGGATTTGACGCCCTCTTGGGTTGTCGAGAGAACTGAATGATGCCAAATGCCTTGCACCAGGCTGATCCTGAAAATGCAAATCAGGCAACCCCAATATATAATCAAGAGTTCTGTACACAAGATAGGTTGTCTGTGGAGGGAAATAGACAAGTTTTACACCATCAAATGAATTACAGGTCTTAATACTAAGCACATATTTCATCATATCATGGTTTACCTTCATGCCAATGTTACGCGTAACAATGTCCGAACTGCTCACAGTTGACTGCAGACGCTTGGGCAAGGGAGACACGGACAATTCCTTACCTGAAATGTAAGTTGTTTCAGATAAAATGCTTGTTGTCTGTACACACAGATATAAACTATGCAAAAAATCTGCCTAGATAGATACACTTTGTACCAATCATAAAAGCAAAACACACAACTGGGGCTATAAGCAACCAAATAAATTAAATACCTGTAAGGTTGAACCCACCACTGGATGTAGGCTTAGTAGTTTTCGTTTCCCCGTGGCTGCAAAAGCAGATGACAACAAATCAAATACCCCATTTCGGAAGAGTGTATAAAAATGGGCGTGACATACTTACCCTAATTCAGATTGGTGTTCTCCATTGGTTTTGGTGTTCTTCTCTGAAGCCAAGTGCCAGAAAAGAGTCTTCTCTAATAAGGAAAACATTTTGCATTAGTACACTAAGTATATGGCATCAAACTTCCAAATGTGCGCACAGAAGCAAGAAAAGGCACCTGAGGGATAAGGTTTAGGCTTTAAGTCAAACTCGGCGTCTGTTTGCATCTCAGAAAAGGCCTGCGTTCTTTTGTTTCCCGCAGCTAGTTCAGAGAAAATTTCACAAGTTAAATTAGGTGATAATCGTTTCTTGGGCTGAGAAATAAATGTTTGTATCACACGTCCTTACTTGGTACGATGTAATGTTTGTGGTGTCTTGTGGCGTTTCCGATCATCTGCTGCTGCCTAAGGCCTTCTTTATCGGTGTAAGTTTGGCAAGTCAGGACTTGCTGAACATGGAAAGTAAGTGTCACTTGTAAATCCTGCAGCTCTATCAGCACAAATTCTCTTGCTAAAATAGTCAGTACCTGGTTCAAGGATGCTACTTTCAGCTCGACAGTTGAGACCTCTGAAACCTGTTGTTCATACAGGTCTGTCAATTTGTAGGCAACGGTGCCAAGGTGGTCGACCGCGTTGACCAGAGCCCTAACAGCATAATCCTTCAAGTTGTCCAGCACACTACAACAACAACAACAAAGCCTTTAGTCCCAAGCAAGTTGGGGTAGGCTAGAGGTGAAACCCATAAGATCTCGCAACCAACTCATGGCTCTGGCACATGGATAGCAAGCTTCCATGCACCCCTGTCCATAGCTAGCTCTTCGGTGATACCCCAATCCTTCAGGTCTCTCTTAACGGACTCCTCCCATGTCAAATTCGGTCTACCCCGCCCTCTCTTGACATTCTCCGCACGCTTTAGCCATCCGCTATGCACTGGAGCTTCTGGAGGCCTGCGCTGGATATGACCAAACCATCTCAGACGATGTTGGACAAGCTTCTCTTCAATTGGTGCTACCCCAACTCTATCTCGTATATCATCATTCCGGACTCGATCCTTCCTCGTGTGGCCACACATCCATCTCAACATACGCATCTCCGCCACACCTAACTCGATCCTTCAAGTTGTCCAGCACACTGATAACAGGAACATGCGAAAAATGATCAGACAACCTCTCGCTGCATGTTCTACTTCTGTGCAGTGATCACCTAGCAGAAACTTGATGCTGCCTTTTGTTCTTCCATATTTACAGAATCTTTGGTTCCTTTTGCAGTGCAGCCAGATGCAGAAGATGGACGCGTCCATTCAACTAAAATTAACAAGGTAACCTTTATTTCTAAGTCGACCAAGAAATTCTTATTTCTAGGTGGACGTTTCTGATCGTTGATTCTTCTTTATCCAATGGGAATCGAGTAGTTGCACAATTTGGAGTAACTATTTCTCAGGCGACGGCTTAAAATATCAGATCTGAATTAAACAATTATGAAAAGTTGTGCAAAGAAATCCAAAATTCCTACAACCTTCACTGCCCATGATTAATTCTCTAGTGGTGTCTCCGCATTTAAGCCTCCACACCTGGAGAGTTTTTGTCAATCAATTGTCCTTGATTTGTCTGATCCTAGTTCGTCTGTAGATGGGTGCAAGTATGCTACTAGCATACTACTGAACCAATCAACACCAAAATAGAAGCTGGGCATAAAGTTTGGTTAAAACATCGGCTAGCAACATCAAGTAAACAATGATTGCTACACATGCAAAGTTGTTATTACTACCAAGAAATTGCGACCGAGTTGCTACAGAATAGAATTGAGTGCTAGAACTTGAATCGCAGTGGAGACAAGAATAGCTCACATATGCTTCTGCTCGCTGTGGAGGTACGACTTCTCGCAGTACTCCGCGGCGGAGTAAAGCTGTGGGCGCAGGTTCTTGAGCTCCTGCACGCGCGACAGACGCAGGTCACTTACCGCCAACCTAACAAACGGGAGCGCAAAACGCGGATCTGTCGGCGCGCCGATAGAGGCGATGGCCAGGCCGGGTAGCGGCGGGATCTCCCGGATCCTGGCCGGCGGCGTACCTGGAGCGCCTTGACAAAGCTCTTGCTCCGCTCCATGGACGCCTCGTCGAAGGTGGTGGGAGCAGGGCGGGCGGGGTCGGGCCCGGACGCCCACGAGGGCGGCGCCTGCAGCTGCGGCTGCTGCATCGCGGTCCTCTGCTCGCTCCTGTCGTCGGTGGGAACGGGAAGCGGGGAGGCCAAGGCACGTCAGGAGGAAGCAAGGTAGCGAATGCGATTCGCCTCTGCTGTTGTCCCGCCTGCCGGGTGCTGCAGCAGCAGCGGCTCGCGTATTGGAGGTAGCTGCGCTCCGGCTCCGGCTGCGTGCGGGAGTGGAGGCAGGTGGTGGAGTGGGGGCGGGGCAGCGAGCGAGGTGGTGAGGGTGGGCGCGGATGGCGACGGCGGACGGGGTCGTGTTGGTTGCCAGTCGCTTTAACTTCTAGTCAATGTGCGGCGGGCGCAGCACCCACCCACGCAGGCCCTGTTGCACTTGGCAAATGACGGCAGCAGATTAGGGGAATCGAGTGCAAGCTTTGTCAGCCTCTTTTTCCTTCGCGGGGAATCTCTCTCGGCTGTGTTTTGTGGGAGCTAGTACTTTCTAAAAAAATTCACTGATGATTTGATGAAAAAGTGAGTTTGTCTCCTCCGTCCTGTGGCTCGTCCTCTGCACTTGGCTGTTGCTGTTTGGTTGCAACATGTTTGGTGCGTTGGTACCTTTGGGTTCGGTTGCTGTACATTGCAATTTGTGCGTAACAAGTTATGGCCTTGACATGTACTAAAAGGAGAATTAGTTATCTCTTTTATTCGAAAAGCATCGGATCTATTATAAAAGTTCATCGAAAGTAAAAAAAAGTACATCTGAAACATAATAAAAAATATACGAGATTCCGCTACCCCTGAACGACCACTACTACCCCAGAATAAGACGCCGACGCGCTGCTATGCCGCTCCCCCTACCAGGGTCTACTTGGCCTTGTCAATGACAGCGGAGATGTCTTCGTGCACATGCCCCGATGCCCTGAAGCCACGGTCGTCGTCGTTGAACCATTTAATAAATCTAAAGTGCCTGACACCAGATCTTGCCACATGACGAGAAACTCTAACCTCATCATCCCAAGAAAATGATAGAAATCTACATCGAATCTTCGTTTGGCTACATCTAGATAGGCGAACTTCTTATAGGAGTCCAGAACAAAAACTCAAAGAGAAAGGGTCACCATTCGCCTGAGCGATACACCTACGAGGACTAAAAAAATCTACCTAAAATACTAGCAGAGCGGAGGCACCGTCCAATCAAAACTTTAAGATTTGTATTTTTTGTTGCAAATGCTCACATTGGTAAAGTTGTTGCGGTGCTGGCCGCTATCTCCGTAGTTTGTTCCATGTGTTCTGGGTCGTCTCTTGATCATTTTTAGGTTGTTGTTTGTCACGCTTGAGGGCTGCACTGTTCATTCTTACTCCCTTCGTATTAAATATAAGACTTTGTCTTGACAACGTCATAGGAAAGTTCTTATATTAAGTTACAGAGGTAGTATTTGTTTAGGAGAGAAGTGATTGAAAAGAGAATGGTAAGTGTATGTACTAAAAAAAGAAAGGGTGGCACATATTTAAAAATAAAAGAGCTGTTTTTTTACCCTTCTTTTTTCATAGCCGTCTATTTTGTTACGGTTGAAAGTTCACCCTTGAAACATAACTAAGAATCCGACCAGTTTTTGTCGTGGTTGTACGTCTGTCCTAGGCAAGCTTTTTGTTCAAGATGCAACTCCACCCACGATACACAACTGGGGACTGACTCATTTTTGTCCCAGTTGCAACTTCACCTTCAACATGTAACTCGGTCCAACCTATTTTTGTCTCAGTTTCAAGTCCACCGATAACATGCAACTCCATGCCTGTAATGAAACTTCAACTAAGGGCGGGTGCAAGGTTATTGGCCAGTTGCATGCCCAAAACTAAGACAAAATTCATGTTTTTTGCATTTCCAGCTATTTTATAAAAAGTCATGAACATTTTGTTAAAATTATGAAAAAATAGAATTCATGTTTTATTTTTTATAAAAAAATCATGAACTTTTCCACATTCGTTTTTTTGAATTTGTGAACATTTTTCAAAGTTGCTAATTCCTTTCTAATTCACACACTTTTTAAAAATTACAAACATTTTTTATTTCATAAAATTTTAAAAAAACATACAAAGAATTTTTCATTTCACCAATATTTTTTTGCAAACAATTTTAAATAGATGAGCAAGGACAATCGACTTGTTTAAACAAAATAAGAAAAAGAAACAAACGCATGAGGGGAATGGCTTTGTTCTGGGATGAGGTGATGTCGATGTCGTATTTGATGTTGCATATTTTAACAGATGTGACATGTTTATATCACATATAGATTAGGCCTAGACACACCCATGAAAATAATAATAGTTTTTTTGTGTGCAAAAATAATAATACGAGTAGTTGTTAAGGTCTTGTGGGGCTTAAGAACCATCAAAGCTTTTTTATTTCCTTTTTTCAGAAAAGACATCCAAAGGGTGTCTCATATATGATAGTAGTTCCTCCATTTCCTAATATAAGATGTTGTAATATTTATCAAGGAAACACATACAATTAAAGGACAAGAGGACACAAAACAACCTATAAACCATATATAATTGAATAGTAATATAGCAAAATCTGTTGATAGTACTTTTGCAATGGATAATGTTGCGCTTTGAGCTATAATAGCTTGCAACAAAACCTAGTGAAGTCTTCCATATCGTTCTACTCACATCATGTAGGTGAATTAATTAATGCTATTTATGTATTGGCTGGACGAGATTTGATCCCATGATCCTACCACCAGCATCCTTCTATATTTATATCATCTTCACGTGTAATAAGATGCCAGTCAAACGAGGGTGCATCTTGCATTATTGAATATGAGCCCACCAAAGGTTCAGCGAGTGCGACACTCTGAACATATGAGTTCTTTTTTCTTGCAAGAAACTTTCAATCTATTAATTTTTTAGTATGATGGTACGAAGAACAATATTCTCTTCTTTCTTCTTTCTTCTTTTTTACTAATAAAGGGGCTATTGCTTTTTACCACCGCAATTTCGTCTGTACATGATTAATTTTAGTCCGACAGACCGCTAACGAGGTGGCACTAAAATAACGTACGGATCCGATATTTTTGTCCGCAACAAAAAAAATTAGTCTCCTGGGCCAGAAGTCCGAGTGAGCCAGCAAGCCAGCGGCAAAAACTATTCGCTGGCAAGCAGACTCGAACCCAAAACTTGTACTGGCACATAACAGAGTGGCCAACCAAGCCGGCCTGCGTCCTTTCCCACCTCGTTCTTTCACATCCAATCTACTCAATTTATATAGTGTTTCTTGGGTGTCAGGAAGGCATCTAGGAGATCATTACAGAAAATGGAGGAAAAGGAGGCGAATTAACTGGAAAGCAAGGCATTTCTTCTATATATTGAAGGAAATATGCCCTAGAGGCAATAATAAAGTTATTATTTATTTCCTCATATCATGATAAATATTTATTATTCATGCTAGAATTGTATTAACCGGAAACATAATACATGTGTGAATACATAGACAAACATATTGTCACTAGTATGCCTCTACTTGACTAGCTCGTTGATCAAAGATGATTATGTTTCCTAACCATAGACATGAGTTGTCATTTGATAAACGAGATCACATCATTAGAAGAATTGTGTGATTGACTTGACCCATTCCGTTAGCTTAGCACTTGATCGTTTTAGTATACTGCTATTGCTTTCTTCATGACTTATACATGTTTCTATGACTATGAGATTATGCAACTCCCGTTTATCGGAGGAACACTTTATGTGCTACCAAACGTCACAACGTAACTGGGTGATTATAAAGGTGCTCTACAGGTATCTCCGATGGTACTTGTTGAGTTGGCATAGATCAAGATTAGGATTTATCACTTCGACTGTCGGAGAGGTATCTTTGGGCCCTCTCGGTAATGCACAACACTATAAGCCTTGCAAGCAATGTGACTAATGAGTTAGTTGCGGGATGTTGCATTACGGAACGAGTAAAGAGACTTGCCGGTAACGAGATTGAACTAGGTATTGAGATACCGACGATCGAATCTCGGGCAAGTAACATACCGATGACAAAGGGAACAACACATGTTGTTATGCGGTTTGACCGATAAAGATCTTCGTAGAATATGTAGGAACCAATATGAGCATCCAGGTTCCGCTATTGGTTATTGACCGGACACATATCTCGGTCATGTCTACATAGTTCTCGAACCCGTAGGGTCCGCACGCTTAAAGTTCTGTGACGATCGGTATTATGGGTTTTTGTGTTTTGATGTACCGAAGGTAGTTCGGAGTCCCGGATATGATCACGGACATGACGAAGAGTCTCGAAATGGTCGAGACATAAAGATAGATATATTGGATGACTATGTTCAGACACCGGAAGTGTTTCAGGAGGTTTCAGACATTTACTAGAGTACCGGGGGGTTACCGGAACCCCCCGGGGAGTATATTGGGCCTAATGGGCCTTAGTGGGAGAAGAGGAGGGGCGGCCAAGGGCAGCCGCGCGCCCCTCCCCCTCTAGTCCGAATTGGACAAGGAGGGGGTGGCGCCCCCCTTTCCTTCTCTTCCTCTCTCCCTTTCTTCTCCTCTCCTACTCCAACTAGGAAAAGAGGGAGTCCTACTCCCGGTGGGAGTAGGACTCCCCCCTTTGGCGCGCCCTCCTCCTTGGTCGGCCGCCTCCCCCCTAGCTCTTTTATATACGGGGGCAGGAGGCACCCCATAGACACAACAATTGATCTGTTGATCTCTTAGCCGTGCGCGGTGCCTCCCTCCACCATAATCCATCTCGGTTATATCGTAGCAGTGCTTAGGCAAAGCCCTGCGACAGTAGCTTCATCAACATCATCACCACGCCATTGTGCTGACGAAACTCTTCGTTGAGCTCTACTGGATTGTGAGTTCGCGGGACGTCACCGAGCTGAATGTGTGCTGAACGCGGAGGTGCCGTACGTTCGGTGTTGAGGATCGGTCGATCGTGAGGACGTATGGCTACATCAACCGCGTTGTTATAACGCTTCCGCTTAATGGTCTACGAGGGTACGTGGACAACACTCTCCCCTCTCGTTGCTATACAT